TAGATTTGGTAGGTTCAGAGGCTTGTTTGAAAAGCAAGGCCGTGGTTGAACTTTGAGTTAATTTTTGGAGCGATGTAAGTGTTGAGTTTAATCTTGATTTGAGAGAATTAGGAACCCTCGGACTGTGTGCTATGAATTTCATATGTTACGGCGTATATGTGAGGTGACGAGTGCTTATACGCCGCCGAATTACTTGTTTTCCTGATTATCCGCTTTTCTTAATTATCTCCTTCCCTGTCTTAACTGTTATATGCTCTAAATGCCTTTCATGCCTATTTGCTACATGTTAATCATTATTTCTCCTGTTAACAATGTTAGATCCTCTCATGCTTTCATGACTCACTTTTGTTTGCCTTAATTGGCTTATTTGCACCTTCTAATTGTCATTTACTGGACTTGTTTTGTCTTGTAGTATTACATATGTGAATTCCCTTGTTGTACAAGGTTCCCTTTCTGATTCAGCTTTGTATTCATCGATTTTAGAGGTTCTTGTGATTTGAATTATTGATTTGACGATGCTCATCGAATATTTGATACTAATATTGTGGGATCTGGTTGCACACCACAACAGGTGAAATAATGGTGGATTGATATGGTGGCATAAGACTAAATTTGTATTGATATGATGGGATCTGGTTGCACGCCGCAACAGGTAAAATAAGGGCGGATTAGAACGGTGAAATAAGGGTGAATTATAATACTGATTTTGTTATATAGTGGAATATGATTGTGCGCCACAACATATATTTATTTGTTTATGATTGTGATATCATTACGGTGGAATAAGGGAGGATTGTGTTTTACGGTGAGATCGGGTTGCGCGCTGCAACAACCTATGTGCTTTTATTTCTCTGTACTATGTTGGTTCTCGGTATTTTTCAAACGGAACTCTAATGATTGGTAATTCAGATCGATACTGGTTTTCCTTTGAGGACTTAGCTATTTTCTTTAGTTAACTATCTTATTTCGTTCTGTATATTTCCTTCTCCTATTTTATTATATACTCCATACAGGTTGTAGTGTTAGTGACCTGCCTTAGCCTCGTCACTACTTCGTCGAGTTTAGGCTCGACACTTATAGAGTACATAGGGTCGATTGTACTCATATTTCACTCTGAACTAATTGTGCAGATTTCTAAGTTTGTCCCAACGGCGGTTGTTAGTGTACTCGGATTGACCAGCTTCGTGCAGACTTGAGGCACAACTGCTCAGGGCCCACTGCTCATAGAGTCCCCTTTCCGTTTTATTTTGCTGTGTACTTTCCTTCTGACGACTTTATGTTTATTCAGACCTTTATTTGTACCATTCTAGTAGCTCGTGCACTTGTAACATCGGGTCCAGGGTTATATCAGATATTTGAGTAGCTATAGCTTCCGCACTTTACTTTGGATTATTATTGTTATTTCAATTCTTTCTTATTACTTAATTTGAAATGTTGAAAATGGATAAATTATTCTAGCGTTGGCTTGCCTAGCAAGTGAAATATTAGGCGCCATCACGGTCCCGAAGTTGGAAATTCTGGGTCGTGACAAGTTGCTATCAGAGCACTAGGTTGCATAGGTCTCACGAGTCACGAGCAAGTTTAGTAGAGTTTGGAGGATCGGTACGGAGATGTTTGTACTTATATTCCAGAGGCTATGGAGTTTAGGAACAATTTCACTCCTATTCTTCACTGCCGTGTGATTTTATTCTACCATTAATGATTGAACTCTTCGTTTCTTGATCTTTCGCAGATGGAGAGAAAATGCACTGCATCTTTAGTTGGACAGCAGCCGGAGCCCCCACCAGCAGCTCCTACGAGGGGCAGAGGTCGAGGTCGAGGTCGAGGTCGTGCTTGAGGCAGAGGTAGGGATCAGGCCGCCTGAGGTGGAGGTCAGGCCGTTAGGAGTGGAGGCCAGCTAGCTAGAGGCCGTCTTAGAGATGTAGTTTGGAGTGGTGGGGCCCAGACTCGATGTTATGCTTTCCCAGCCAGGCCTGATGCTGAGTCATATGACGTTGTTATCACAGGTATTGTTCCAGTTTGCCATAAAGATACTTCTGTTCTATTTGATCCGCTCTACTTATTCCTTCATGTCATCCTAGTTTGCTTCATATCTGGTTGTGCCTCGTGATTCTTTGAGTGCCCTTGTATATGTGTCCACACCTATGGGAGATTCTATTATCGTAGATCACGTCTATCGTTTGTGTGTGATTACTCTTGGGATTTTCGAGACTAGCATAGATCTTCTACTTCTCGATATGGTAGATTTTGATGCCATCTTGGGTATGGATTGGCTATCATCTTATCATGCTATATTCTACTGTCATGCCAAGATAGTTACCTTAGCCTTTCCGGGGTTGCCTCGATTAGAGTGGAGGGGGACTACTGGCTATTCTACCAGGAATGTTATCTCTTATGTGAAGGCTTGGTATATGGTCGAGAAGGGGTGTCTAGCTTATCTAGATTATGTCTACAATTCTAGTGCGGAGGTTCCTTCCATGGATTCAATACTAGTTGTTCGTGAGTTTTCAGAGGTGTTTCCTGTAGATCTACCGGGGGTGCCACTGATAGAGATATTGACTTCTGTATTAATTTGGCTTCGAGCACTCAACCCATTTCTATTCCTCCATACCGTATGACCCCACCAGAGTTGAAAGAATTGAAGGAGTAGTTGCAAGATTTACTTGATAAGGGCTTCATTAAACCTAGTGTCTCTCCCTGGGGTGCGCCTGTGTTGTTTGTGAGAAGAAAGATGGAACGATGAGGATGCACATAGATTACCAGTAGTTGAACAAAGTCACTTTCAAGAACAAGTATCCATTGTAGAGGATTGATGACTTATTTGATCATCTTCAGAGTGCCAAGGTATTTTCGAAGATTGATTTAAGGTCTGGCTTTCATTAGTTGAGGATTAGGTCATCCGATGTCCCTAATATAGCTTTTCAGACTCGATATGGGCATTGTGAATTTCTAGTGATGTCATTTGGGTTGACGAATGCCCCTGTATAACAACAACAACACCAGTAATAACCCAGTAAAATCCCACTAGTGGGGTCTGGGTAGGGTAGTGTGACGAATGCCCCAACATCATTTATGGATTTGATGAACCGGGTGTTCAAGCCCTACCTGGATTCCTTTGTGATTGTGTTTATTGATGATTCCTTGAACTATTCCCGCAATCGAGAGGAGCACGAGTAGCATCTTCGGATTGTACTTCAGACTCTGAGAGAGCCAATTGTATACCAAGTTTTCAAAGTGGGAGTTTTGGTTGGACTCGGTCTCTTTCTTTGGGCACGTAGTATCGGTAGAGGGCATAAAGGTGGATCCTAAGAAGATTGGGGCCGTTCATAACTAGCCTAGACTGACTTCAGCTACGGAGATCCGAAGTTTCTAGGGTTTGGCGAGATATTACCGTCGGTTCATGGAGGGGTTTACATCTGTAGCATCCCCATTGGCCAAGTTAACCTAGAAGGGTGCCCCATTTAGATAGTCAGACGAGTGTGAGGCGAGCTTTCAGAAGCTCAAGACTGCTTTGACTACAACGCTAGTGTTGGTGTTACCCATAGGTTCAGGATCTTATTCGGTGTATTTTGATGCGTCTCATATCGGGCTTGGTACAGTATTGATGCAGGATGGCAGGGTGATTGCATATGCATTGTCACACCTCCTTTTTTACACAACACCGAAAGGTAGTATATAAGGGAGTTTTTCATAGTCACCGGTTTATTTTAAAATCCCAAATCGAGGAAAATCCGACTTTCCTTTTGAAGTCTGCGAACCAGAAATTCTGAATAAGGAATTCTGTTAATCCGAGGGAAGGTGTTAGGCACCCCCGGATTCCGTGGTTCTAGCACGGTCGCTTAAACTATCATAATTGGCCTATTATCTGATTTTAATACATGTTTTAGCCTATGATACAATTTTAAACTTATTAACCGCTTTTAATTATTTTTAAGAAGATTCAACGTTATCAAAATACGTCTTGAACCATGCCACATGAAATGCACCCGCGGTTCGCGATACATTTTATCCAGCGTTGTTGAGATTTAGATTTGGGTCACATGAAATACACACCCGATTAGTAAGGTAAATTTAAATTACGCGCCTAAAGCAACTACGCATTTTTAACTTTGCGAGGGACATGAAAAATTCACTAAATGGTGCACCTTGATTTCTAAGGATAAAATATTAATAATATGAGGGCCATGCATTTTGAGATTTTATTTGGCACGGCGTACCTCAAATCCAATTTTAAAAGGGAATTCAAACTAACTTTGGAGGGCCGTAAGCTATTTGTGTTATCTAATATGGCTCACCTCAATTATTAAAGAAGTCTAGTTAATTAGCTAAAGGCTTAACATGATTTGAGATTAATCTAGGCAAACACATAACTTAACCTCAAGAATCAGCAGAATAAACGAGCCAGCGTTTGGTTACGCGCAAAGCCCAATTAACAGGAGGCCCAAATTAGCCTTCTGTGAGCTTGCATATCAAAAACAAAAAAGGCAAAGGCTTAAACGAAGCCTGTAACGCGTCCTGGGCGCGAGGAAGACGCTGGGCCAAAATTAAAGGCCCAATTGTAGGACCCAGTGCTAAATTATTGTCATGCCCAACGTTTTGAATTGGAAACAAATACTGCCTTGTAGACCAATACCAAGCACGTTCTTATTGTTCAACCCTTTTAAGGCATAAAGCATTCTTTAATGGAATAAGAATCAAATACGCAAACATTTGGGTTCCCTAGTAGAACAAACGCCTAAGTCTGATTTCATTTACTAAATCCCACTCCAAATATCCTTAAACAAACAATTGACAATGTTTTAATAAATTTGGAAACCTCCACACCATGATTCTGAATTCCCTTTTTTTTTTAAAAAGACTTTGAAGCTATGAAGTAAAAGATTCATCTCAAACGAATGTTAGACACATGAAAGATTTAAGCCAAAACCTTAAACAAAACTCAGAGGCAAATTAAACTATTCTCAACAGGGGTTTATAGTCATTCACCACAAGACATGCCATTCACATCAAAATAGCACCTCATATTACCCATTCAAATAGCATACTACACCTCATCATTTTATCCTTAGTCTCCTTGCAGCTAGTTTTATCACGAGAACTGCTACCAAACAATATAACATTGAAATGTCTAACTAAAAATCAAAGAAAACTTAAACCAACATGCCTCTTGACTGCATTTTTTATCTACAACATCTCATTAGTCCCAAATTAATACAATAAAAAGAAACAAGTTTCAACAGCCAAAGCAGAGATTAACTAAGAAAGCAATGGACTAAACTATAAACCACCAGACAACCAAAATATAGAACTGAACTCATAAAAAGAGACTAGAAAATTTTTTTGAGCTCTGTTTTTTTATTTCACTCTTCAATTCAAGCTTCACATGGGGGTAGAATACAGGAGAGTACCTGAATGAAAGCAAAAGAGGTCAGAAATCTAGTCTGAAACTAGAAGGAAACAGTAGTAGCAGAAATCAGCAATGCAACAGTAACATCAACCAAAACCCAAATTTCAATGATCAGGACCCAAATGATTCAAAACCAACGCTTAAGTCAGCAATGGAATAGTAGAAACCACAGAAAATCCAAATCAGACTCTGAAATACCAGAACTCAAACCATTTTTAACCCAAAATGCAAACCATGAACTTCAATGGTTCGAGCTAAGTTATCAGGACCAGAAGAACAAAGATCTGAGCATAACTTTAGTAATTTTTCAGGAAAATGCCAGGAATTCAAGGTTGTTTCAGAAATTTTTAGAGAAGAAGCAGCCGTTTCAATTTTTCTATATTTTCTATCTCTTAAAATCTCCCAAATCTGACATGAATGTCAAGTTATGATGCCTTTATAGGCAAGGTTCTAGGGCAGCAGAAATGATTTCAGTTTTTGCCCTTTACTTCTTTTTTAATTTTTGTTTTTGCTAGTTGATCCTTAATTTAAAAATCATATTTTCACATAAATCCCAATCCCCAGCTTCTAAGAAGCTTCCCAAGTTAGTTACATCAGATTTCCCAACTTAGTCCTAAATTAACCCCCAGACCCTCTGTTTTTACCTTGGGAAACCAAATGGGTCGAATTAACCGAATAGCTCAAACAGACCTAGGCTCAGATCCGACCCAAGAAACCAAACAAACCCTTTGAGGTGAAGTCTAAACCGGCCTCAAAGCCCAAGCAACAAAGATAAACTAAATAAAAAGAGTAAACAAACAGACGAAAATACTTAAGGATTTCGAAAACTAAAACCTACAATAATTGACTGATTAATACGGAATTAACTAAGTTATTAAATCAAAACAAACTAACTAATTTGACTATAAGGCTAAATAAAAATCAGGAAGAAAACTAAACAGACCATTGAGCAAAACAAAATGAATTAGAAAAACAAACACAGATTAATCTAGAAAGGAGGTCCTAAGTTCATAGCCTTAGTCGAGTTTCCACCACATTAAGAAAAAGACTAACTAAAGAAAGGGAGATGAAACGAATAAGAGTAAGACAATGAAACAAACAAGAACGGACAAAGAGGTGAAGAAACTTACCAGACCAAAAATCAAAACCCACCAGAGACATTGACTTAAGGAAACTAATGTCAATCATTTGTTCTTTGTCAAGAACAAATGAACAACATCAGTTTTCGTTGAATCAAAACTTCAAAACTCGAAAGGAACAACAGCCTATGATCATGCATGCCACTGGGTTCAATGAAAAATGATTTTAGACTTTTAGGGCTCGAACTCTGATTTACGATTCGAGAAGTTCTGGACAGATTCGAGGGAAACCAGTGATGGATTTGGTATGAGGGAGTCATGGTGGTTTTGTGGTGTTGATTTGGGGTCGATTGGGAGCGGCGTCGCCGGTTGGAGACTGTGGAAAGTAGGGCGGTGTTAGGGTTTTGGGGTAAGGTCTCTGATGATGGGTAAAGTGGGAGAGACGATTAGATGTGGGGTATGGGCATTTGGACAGTTATATATTAAAAGTGGACTCAGTTCCGGATCGTCCAATCAAACGAGATCGATGGTCCTGATTAGGGGTAATTGAAACGGGGTCGTTTGGTCATTGAGTGGGGCGGACCGGGTATTGGGTAGTCTGGGCTGGATTTTGAGACGGATATTAAGAAAAAAAATGCTTGGGCCTTGGGAAATTTTAATTAAAACGGCCTAAATCCGGACTTCTCTTGTTTTTAAAATCTTTTTTCTCTTTTTCAATTTCAAAATTTCTTTTTCTTTTCAAAATTAAAAATAGAACCTAAATTAATTATTAAAACTAATATTAACCTACCACATTATATTAAATGTTCAACGTAATATTTACAAAAAAATAAATAACTCCTAAATTAAAAGAAAAACTACAAAATTCAAAATTAAAGAGCTAAAATCAAGAGCCTTTTTTTTCTTTTTTTTTGATTTTTATATATTTTATAGAACAACTAAATTACCAATTAATCTAAACATGTAAAATTAAATCCTAAATGCAAATGCAATGTATTTTTGTATTTTCATAAATTAAATAAAATTAAACATACACACAAAAATGCAAATAATCAGAAAAAATTCTATAATAATTCCTAAAATAACAAATAATTAAAAGAAAATCTAATTCTTTGGTATTCTGTAGGAGTAATTCTTGTGAGGCAAAAATCACATTCTCACAGCTGCCCCCCTTTGCTCGGAAACATGAAGGATTTTCGGGCAAAGATAAAAATGAGCAATTATGAGGGATTTTTGCCCGTTTGAACTCCATGAGAAACATTTTTTTGAAAAGAGTCTGACCGAACCTTGCTTCAAGGTTGCCTACATATCTTTGGCTATAAAGGAATCAGGTCAGTGTAGTTCTGAAAGTTTTGGTAGCTGAGACTACCGGAAAGTTGTGATTTCACTATTGTTGCTGCTGTTTCCACTGGCTGAGCTCCTTGTTACACCAAAATGAAAAAATAAGAAGCTAATATAGCTAAACCTATCAACTACGAGTTACAAGATTCCTATCTATAAATCTCTTGAAGCTTGATCTTGAGTCTTAGCTAGGTCTTGCTGCAGACTCCAATCTGAATCTTGATGCTTGTTAGCTGTAGGTGTTGGTTCTTTCTTCAACTTTGGATCAAGGCTGGACATGCGAAGCTTGTGACTTCAATCATATCTTGTGCAGTCCGCGTCCTTCTCCATTTCAGCACTTTGAGTTCACTTCTTTTTTGTGTTCTTTTCTTCTTTTTCTTTATTTTGGATTGAGACTCATTCTTTTGGTCATCTCGACTCCTGCGCCTTGAGGTCAAACCTGCTTAGACACCAAAATAAACAAATAACGAAATTTTTCTTCCCCAGTTTTTACTAGGAAAATTTCGTGAGTTAATTGTAACTAAAATATTTTTTTATTTGAAAGCGATAAAATAAGAATTGTGTGTCTTTAGGGGGAAAGATTAGGGAATGGAGTCCTATATCTAAAATTCTCAACTAGGAAATGGAGCCCTATGTTGGCAAAAGGCGACTAGGGAATGGAGGCCCTATGTCTAAAAATCTCAACTCAGGGATTGGAGCCCTAATGTTGGTAAAAACGGCGACTAGGGAATGGAGGCCCTATGTCTAAAATCTCAACTCAGGGATTGGAGCCCTAATGTTGGCAAAAGGGAAACTAGGGGATGGAGGCCCTATGTCTAAAAATCTCAACTCAGGGATTGGAGCCCTAATGTTGGCAAAAGGCGACTAGGGAATGGAGGCCCTATGTCTAAAATCTCAACTCAGGGATTGGAGCCCTAATGTTGGCAAAAAGGCGACTAGGGGATGGAGGACCTATGTCTAAAATCTCAACTCAGGGATTGGAGACCTAATGTTGGCAAAAAGGCGACTAGGGAATGGAGGCCCTATGTCTAAAATTTCCAACTCAGGGATTGGAGCCCTAATGTTGGCAAAGAGGCGACTAGGGGATGGAGGCCCTATGTCTAAAATCTCAATTCAGGGATTGGAGCCCTAATGTTGGCAAAAAGACGACTAGGGATTGGAGGCCCTATGTCTAAAATTTCAAATCAGGGATTGGAGCCCTAATGTTGGCAAAAAGGCGACTAGGGAATGGAGACCCTATGTCTAAAAATCTCAACTCAAGGATTGGAGCCCTAATGTTGGCAAAAGGCGTAAAAGATTGAGATTGAGGATTCTGAACTATCATTTCATGTTATTTCAATAAAATGCAGGAAAGAATTTTGGAGGAAAACTTCCCTTTTGGTTAATTGTTATTGCAAAGCTGTTTCTAGCTTTTGCACATCTTTTCTTTTGGCTGCACCTGCTTTCGCACAGTGGCTGCGTAAACTTCCCTTTCGCACATCTTTAAATATACTATCGTGGTTGTGGAACACGTTCGCATGACGTAACTACGATTTCTAAAAAATAAACCGGAGTATGCGTTCGCGCAACTTCGGTCAAATTTTCTTAATAATAATAAAGCGTTACTAATTATGTACACGTTCGCACGACATGATTTTTGACACGCCAAACAAACGGGTACACGTGCGCGTGACCTATTTCAAGATAATTTTTCTTAGTTTAAAAGCGGTAAGCGGTAAAGGCACATAGGTTCTAAAATCAGTAATTATATAATTTTGATAAGCCAAGTATGATCAAAGCGACCGTGCTAAAACTACGGAATTCGAGAGTGCCTAACACCTTCTCCCGAGTTAACAGAATTCCTTACACGCATTTCTGTGTTCGTAGACCGTAAATAAGAGTCAACTTCCTCGATTCGGGATTTTAAACCGGTGACTTGGGACACCATAAATTATCCCAAGTGGAGACTCTGAATTTCATATAAATAATCTTGTTTCGATTGTCACTTAAATTGGAAAAAACTCCCTTGTACTACTTTCGGGTGGGTAAAAAGGAAGTGTGACAGCTCTGGCGACTCCGCTGGGGACAAGAACCTAGAATTTCTGGTTTAGGGTTCAAGAATTTGAGCTTAGAATAATTATTATATTTGGCTTTATTTATTATCTAGTTTTATTCACATGTTTAGGCTTAATGTGCGAAATGTTGCTTTTACCGCTTTGATATTATCTGAACTGTATATATAAACTGCTACGAAACCCCTCTTCTTTCTGAGTCTTCTGAATTTATGGTGCACACGTGCGCGTGGCCTACCTTTCTGTTAGAAGTCATACCAAATAGAACGAAGTTGGGCCAAGTAACTAGGCCGAGTAGACTTTCGTCCTCCCGGTATGTTGCCCCCACTTCGGCTCAAGCTGTCCGCTTGGGTAAGCCAGGTCTAGAACAGTATACCCCAGGTATTACACTTAGAATAACTCAGCTTCATGCCGGATCCCTAGTAGGAACGTTTGTTTGCATCATGTGCATTTGACTTCGGAGACTCAACACAGGGGTTGGGTCTGTCTAGGACAAGCGTACCCAAAATGAAAAGACCATCCTGATGCATCTTACTTGCTACTTCTGCATTCATTTGTTTCGGATTTTCATGTTGACCAGCTTATAGGAAAAAGTTAGAAAAGGAAAATCAATGTGAGACCCGAGAAAGAAAATTGGTTGTTTTTCGAAAAAAAAAATAATTTCCAAAATATTTTGGAATTCTGTCGAAATTTTGAAAAAAAAAGAAAAGGAAATTTTGTGTTTCTTTTAAAAATAGTTTTATTATTACGAACTATGTAAGTTTGATTCTCGTCAGATGTGAGATACGTAGGCAACCCACATCGGGCACAGCTATTTTTTTTAAAAAAAGGAAATAGATAATAAATAAATAAAAATGTGTGTACATAAATGTCGTTGTGTTGTCATAAGTAAGGCGATGCCATTCTTGTCCAAAATATGCTGAATGTCCCCAAAAGGGCGCCGGAAGGTTGTTTTTGCAAGAACAGCCGCCTTTTGTCGTTTTTTTTCAAAAAACAAATAATTTGGCCAGTTAGCAAACACAGCCTTTAAATCTTCTTCATCGAAGTGTTTTTTTTATGAATTCTTTTTTTTAGAAATATTGATGATTTTTTCAAAATGTGTCTTGATTTTGGTTTTTAAAATTGAAATCACTCACAGGTACAAAATGAGCACCATCCAAAATCCACCGTTCATAGATGTAGATGAGTTTCTATTTCGGCTTAAGATGTGGTGGTATGAATTAGGAGGAGATGGTTAGAAATAGGTCATTAAGTATTTGGGAGCTCTCACAGATATTATGAAAGTTGAACCACGCGAAGATTTGATCACGACACTAGTGACTTTTTGGGACCCTGTTCACAATGTCTTTCACTTCTCTGATTTCGAGCTTACTCTCACATTAGAAGAAATAGCTGGATATTCCGGTTTTGACGGAGATTTGAGAAACCATAATCTTATATTCCCAAAGGCTCCCTTTGTACACCGATTCTTTGGTCTTCTGAATATCAGTAATCAAATTAGAAAAAGCAACATTGTCAAAGGGTGTTGTTCTTTCAACTTCCTATATTCAAGGTTCGGAAAGCCGGATGGATTTGAAATTCATGAAAAGGGCCTTACTAACAAACAAAATAAGGACACCTGGCAGATTCACCGTCGCTTCGCTTTCATGGTGGCTTTTCTAGGAGTCATGGTCTTCCCAAACAAAGATCGGACGATTAATATTCACATAGCCAGAGTCGTACAAGTCCTCACTACCAAAGAACATCACACTATTGCCCTGATCATTCTCTCAGACATTTATCGAGCGTTGACTTTGTGTAAGTCCGGGACAAAATTCTTCGAAGGGTGCAATATTTTGTTGCAAATGTGGTTGACTTAACATCTCCGACATCACCCCAAGTTCATGCAGTATGGTCTGAGAAAGGACAATTTCATTGAGAGTTATGAAGAAATAATAAAAGATTATAAATCTCCAAAAGGGGTGGAAGCCTGGATATCCCATTTAAGATCTTTAATGGCAAGTCAAATTGAGTGGACTTTGGGATGGCTCCCGGTAAGAGAG